TCCTCCCTCCCTTCCTCCCTCCCTTCCTTCCTCGGCCCCTCCCTACCTCCGTGTAGGTGTCGTGTAGCAGCACGATGTCGACCAGCGTCCCTCGCTCCCACCCTCCCTCTCTCCCTCCCTCCCTCCCTTCCTCCCTCCCTCCCTTCCTCGCTCCCTCCCTACCTCCGTGTAGGTGTCGTGTAGCAGCACGATGTCGATCAGCGTCATCATGGCGATCGCTATCGGCACTCCAAAGTCGCCGAGGGCGCGGCGAGCGCTGCGACCGAGGAACTGTGAGTTGCGGAACAGCTTGAGGCAGTAGGCGAGCAGGAACGTTCCGAGCATCAGGATCGTTCCGATGAGCGCCGTGTTCGGCTGGTTGATCGGGTCGGCATAGTAACTGCTCGAGTTTGCGGCCGTCTCGTTGTCGTACGGATCCGAGTCGTTCAGCGTGAGACAGTAGTCGTCGAGTGACAGCAGTGGGTGGTACTTGTACATCTGCGGGAAAACGGAGAGGCGGTGAGAGGGCACCACGGAAGTAGCAAGAGGGCGCCACTGCTAGGGTGATACTTGCAGATCTGCGAGAAAAACGGACAGGTAGTGAGAGGGTGCCACTGAGCAGGAGGCAGCGACAGTAGCGGGTGGTACTTATACATCTGCCGGGAAACGGATATGCTAAGCGCCGAGAGAGAGGGTATTACGTGACTTAGATCATGTGACTTGGTCATATGTGATGCAATTCTTACACTATGAACTGAAATATACGGACAAATACACGGACTAATCACGGAAATGGTGCCAAACGCAGGAAGAGGCACGTGACGAACTATTCCAGAGCTAATTACAGTCAGTAGCCAAAATACACAAACTCCAACGTACTAACCACAGCAGCCTGCATACAGACTGCCAATTAAACGAGCGTGGCTGCTTCAAAGGCTCCCGTTGCTGGTGAGCAGGCTCCACGCTGGCTGGGAAATTAACGTACTATACAGTGTTTCCGCTGGCCAAAAAGGTCTGTGAGGTGGTAAATTATTTTGGTGTGTTTGCTCATTTCAAAGTCCTAGCAAAGCGATTTTTGTTTAATGGTGCAATTTGGTGCATTCTAAGCTATATTTTAGATTTTAATTCAATAAAGTGTAGTGTATCCACGACATAGTATATCTGCAGACGAGCTGCAGCCTCCACGCAAGCACGAAGTGTCACCTAGCAACAGCATCCATCACTTACATAGTACAGCTTCTTGAAGCAGCTGAAGATGAAGATGAATGAGATGAGGGTGGCGAATATCTCCTCGGTGAATCGCGTAAAGTACCGCACGAGGGCGCTACCGTCCAGCGCGACGACGATCAGTGTGAAGAGCAGGATCCACGACCCGACCCACCAACGAAACACGAGAAACTCCACGTCCTGCGACTGACAGAACTGTAACGACAATCACGCTCATTAGTCGTCGTGCGTTGCCACGGCCCTGTTGTCAGCAACAAAATTACTCTTAAAATATTTATTATTATTAT